GGAGTGAGGGAGAGAGAGAGGTGGAGGGAGAGAGAGGAAGGAAGGAAGGAGGGAGGGAGGGAGGGATGGAGGAAAGACGCCCTCAGATGGAACAGGTCACTAGTTATGGAAAAACTTCATACGGGTCCTTGGGGGCCCGAAAGGCTATTGGAGCTTTATCTTCCGAATGGTGGAGAGGGATTAAGGGCAATGAAGAGGAAACGGCACTTTGATTGGGTGTTTTAGAAGCATCCAGTGGCCAGGCATGGTGGCTCACACCTGTAATCCCTTTGGTATGATGAAGCAAGAGGATCACTTGAGGCTGCAGTGAGCTATGATTGACCCACTGCACTCCAGCCTGGGCAATAGAGCCAGACCCCACCTCAAAAAAAAAAAAAGATGAAGGTGACCATTGGGTGGGCAGGTGGTGGGCATTATGGGGCTAGGCTGGGTGGCAGGTAGGTCAACAAGAGGAATACCCCTCCCTCCTAGAGGCTTGGGCAGGTGTGTGGGCATTGAGCCCCCTCTTTCCACCTGCAGAGCTGCTCCAGAAAGGCTCCACCTGCATCACCAACACGGAAGGATGGGTAGGGCACCCCCTGGACCCCATTGGCTGCCTCTGCAGGGCACTCCTGGAGGCCTGTCGCCTGGAGGAGGAGACACTTACCCTTTACTCAGGTACCAGGGGGACTCTTGCAGGAGGCGGGACAATCCTCGCCTCATTGGCCACGCTCCCTGGCCCAGTACCCCTATTAAGTAGCCCCCAGACTCTCACCCTTGGCCGTGCCTCGACCCTTGACTACCTCCCCTGGCCAGTGCCACGAGCCCATAGGCTTAGCTTCTCCCAAAAGCGAGGCCACCACAGGCCTAGCTGCTGCTAGAAGATGCCCCCCCACCAACTCCGTGAGTGCTAGGAGCTTCCAGACTCCCCCTGAAGCCCACCCTGCGCCCAAGTCTCCATGCTTGGGGCCAAGGGCTACAGCAGTCTTAAGTAAGGGGATCCGTTTCCAGCAGCCCCGGCCCTGTCTCCCCCAGACACAAGCCCCGAGAAGCGGAAGGTGGCCTACCAGCACGTGCCTGTGCCCGGGAGCCCTGGAGAGTCCTACTTGGTGCTGGCGCTGGAGGTGGCACTGCTGGGGCTAGGGCAGCAGCGGGCCCTGCCAGAGGGGCTGTACGCCCAGGACAAGGTGGTTCGCAACGAGGAGCAGCTGCTGGCCCTGCTGGAGGAGGTGGAGTTGGATGAGCGGTTGGTGCAAGTGCTGCGCAAGCAGGCGGGGCTGCTGCTGGAAGGTGAGGCCCCGCCCCTAGGCCTGGCTGTTCCTGAAAGGTAGGGTCCTGCCCCTGCCCCTGTAGCGGCCTGGTGGCTGCAGGATGGGAGGCCCCGCCCATCCCCGCCCCTGGCCCCACCTCCTGGTCCACACTGTCCACTCGCACCTCGGCAGTTCCTAAAAGGCGAGATCCGCCGGGCGCGATGGCCCACTCCTGTAATCCCAACTCTTAGGGAGGCAGAGGCTAGAGGATAGCTTGAGCCCAGGAGTTCGAGACCTGCCTGGTCAATATAGCAAGACCCCGTTCTCCACAAAAAGGAAAAAAAGAAAAAGGCCCCAAAAAAGGAGAGCTCCAGCTATTGTTACCGCTCCCTAGTGCGTGCTGCCCCCCAGTAACTGCGGCGTGTGGTGAGGCCACGCCCCCTTACCTCCCGGGAGCCAATGAGCCCAGTGGCTGATGATAAAGCCCGGGCGTCCCACCTTCATCCGCAACTTATGCACCGCCCCTGGCTTGTCCTGCGCCTCATTGGCCCCGCCCATGCCCTGGCTGTATTGGCCTGTGTGTTATGAGGCTCCGCCCCCTTAGTGCTGCTGGGAGCAGCTTGGTCCTGCCCCTTCCAAGCTCTCTTTGATAATTGTACTTGGTAGTTTTGGCCATTGGTTCCACTCCCCAAGGCAGGTGCAGCCTCCACCCTCCATCCCCACCTTGCATCCTCTGGCGCCACCTCGCATTTGAGTCTTGCTCCACACCTGGGAGTGTGCCTGGAGTCTCCTCTTTTCTATTCTTTTTCTCTCTCTCTTTTTTTTTTTTGGACAGAGTTTTTGCTCTGTCGCCCAGGCAGGAGTGCAGTGGCTGGACCTTGGCTCACTGCAACTTCTTCCTCCCGGGTTCAAGTGATTCTCCTGCCTCAGCCTCCGGAGAAACTGGGACTACAGGCATGCACCACCACACCCAGCTAATTTTTTGTATTTTTAATAGAGGCGGGGTTTCACCATGTTGGCCAGGCTGGTCTCGAACTCCTGACCTCAGGTGATCCGCCTGCCTCAGCCTCCCTAAGTGCTGGGATTACAGGTGTGAGTCACGATGCCCAGCTAATTTTTGTACTTTTTTTTATTTTTATTTTTTTTGAGATGGGGGTTTCACCTTGTTGGTCAGGGTGGTTTCAAACTCCTGACCGCAGGTGATCCACGCACCTCGGCCTCCCAAAGTGCTAGGATGACAGGCGTGAGCCACCATGCCCAGCCTATTTTTATTTTTTGAGACAGAGTATTGCTCTTGTTGCCCAGGCTAGAGTGCAATGGCATGATCTTGGCTTACCATAAACTGCCTCCCGGGTTCCAGCAATTCTCCTGCCCCAGCCTCAGGAGTAGCTGGGACTACAGAGCATATGCCACCACTCCTGGCTAATTTTTTGTATTTTTAGTAAAGACAGGGTTTCTCCATATTGGACAGGCTGCTCTCGAACTCCCGACCTTAGGTGTTCCGCCTGCCTCGGCCTCCCAAAGTGCTGGAATTATAGGCGTGAGCCACCACACCCAGCTAATTTTTGTATTTTTGATAGAGACACGGTTTCCCCACGCTGCCAGGCTGGTCTTGAACTCCTGAACTCAAGTGACACACCCACCTCAGCCTCCCAAAGTGCTGGGATTACTGAGCCATCACACCTGGCCTCCTCTGTTCTTTGGATTACCCAGTGCTTGTCTCAGTCTCAGCCCTGAACCCCTTCCCCTTGGGATCTATGTAGCCACAGCCCCTCTGCCCAGGGGCCAGCCCACCTTCTACTTAAAGCCTGGGGTCTAGGGAGACCTGGGGAGGGCCAGAGGTGAGCCCCCACTTGGGGGCTGAGCTCAGGCTTGTTTCTGCAGGGGGTCCCTTCAGTGGCTTCGGGGAGGTGCTGTTCCGGGAGAGCGTGCCCATGCACACCTGTGCCCGCTACCTATTTACCGCACTGCTGCCTCATGACCCCGACCTGGCCTATCGCCTGGCGCTGAGAGCCATGAGGTGAGGATAGGCGGCCGGGGGGGGGGCCCTGGGGGACGAGGGGCGGGCATGGGAGGGGAGCTCAGAGCCCCACCCTTCCAGCCTGAACTCACAGCCTAGTTTAGTCTCCCTCACCCTAGCATTTGATGATGCCATGTGCTTTTCATTATTTTTTAAGGTTTTTTTTTTTTTTTTTTT